TTCATTGATGAAGAAACCCTTGGTCCAGCTTTGCTCCAATTAGTTGTGGATGAGATTGTAAAGCTAATGATGTAAAATGCACTTTAGTTAATACTCTAGTATCCTGTAATTCATGGATCAGAAGGACATTTTTCTAGAAAATGACAGCGTGATATTTGATCAACAATAATATTATTCCTTAGCAAAGGTACTTAATATGTTGTGTTCATCTGCATTTTCAAAAAACCTTCTGTCCTATAATTGAAAAGTGCTTTCCTTTGAGTTGTTTTGGTTTCACCAGCAGTGAGTAGAAGCCTTGTTGAGCAGGATAGCTTATTGTAAAATATTAGTGGCCATTAATTTTCATTATGGTAATAGCACACAGGGTTCAAGCTACAATTCTGATAAATTGCACAAACCAACATGCATACCCACTGATTGCAACATTAGTCAAAATTCAACTCTTGACATTCATATGCAATATTTATGTGACCCACATCACGGCAGTACTAAATGACCCAGAATCTTTAATACATTTTGTTTGTATTTTGTGAAGCATAGTATAATTTTCAGTTTACAAATGAAACAGTGAAATTTGTGATGTTGTTAAAAAGCAAAAATTACATTTGCTGTGGGTCTTAGCAGAATTTACAACATTTATATTACTTTGCTTTTATAAGTTTAGCATAAACTATTTACCATGTGACAAGGTATAAAAAGATAAGAGTTGCCGATTTCTCCTCTAAGCCCAAATGACAGGTCATGGGAACAGCCAATGGGCATGGCCAGAATGAGGTGCTACTTACATTCTTTGCAGCAGTCAAGAAGTGGACAAATGATTTCACCCAAAACCAAGATTGTCACAGAGGCTTCCTTAGCCAGATTTATTGAAAAGAAAATGGCATTAGGTGACAGAAATCTCAACAATGGGATTATTTTCACTTTCAGAAACTATTTTGTCTCCCAGCCTGCTAAGGTGGGAACTTTTTTTCTGTTCTTAACCATAATCTCTGTGTGAACTGAAACACCATTTTTTTACTGATAAGAGAGGAATGTCTAAATGTTCATAATAGGAATCTTTCTCAAGCTATGAACCTAATCACTTATTGATTGCTCCTTTCTATTTTACCTTTCTTCAACTTCCAAACAATATATTATCTGCACAATAGGGAATGCAGGTTGAAGTCAGAAGCAATTTTCCCAATGGTCTTGATAACCTCTTTGTCATATTTGTGGAAGAGTGCTAAATCATATTTGTGGAAGAATGATCAAAACCCAAGTTGTTTTAGGTAGGAGAGGGACATAGGATAAAACAGGAATAACAGATCACTAGATATGTATTTAATCAGAGTTCCCCAAACTGGTCAATACTGACCTTTAAGAGTTAATGGAATTATGTATTATTATGGACATGGGTTATCATTCAGATTCAGAACCTGACTCATAACATTGCTCCAGCTGAGCCTATGGATTGTCAGCCTCAGAATTCATCAAGGCGTGATTCACTGGGGCTGATCAACCACAGGCATCTCCTGATCAATTGAAGGATGACTCCCAAGTTCCAGGTCTCAAAGTATGCAGCAGTAAGCAAAGCAACATTAGTCAATGAGGTTCCTCACTAGGTAAAGTGTATCTTGGAGAAAGAGGAGACAAGATGTTGTCTAGGAAACAATCAGACAATAGAAGCAGGAGAAAAACTGCAGTCAGGAAAAGAAACGTAGGAAAAGAAACTGGATCACACAGTTAAAGTGGAGACGGGAAGTTTTGTTTCTTCTGATTTGCAAGATTCTGTTAATGTAGCCTTACAATAAAATAGTATTAGTTCATCTTGTCTTGTTTCCTATCTGGTTTATTTGGGAGGGCTGACACAAAGAGTGAAGCCTGAGTATTTAAGCCACATGCCCACAGATTGATTTATGCAACCATTTTGCCTTCTGCTTTACTTGGAATCAATAGTTTGGAATTTCATTTCATGACTCTTGTTCTTGTGTTTCCCTGCTTTTGAACTCTTGACTATTAGACTGGCTGACTACCTGACTTGGCTCTCTTACTCCTGGAAAGAATTTGGACCATTTGCTACCTAAATTTGAAATGGAATTATTAAGGCAGGACTCTTTGCAAAGACCTTGCTTGATGAACTTGTCTATTGTTATCTGCCTAGTTGAGGTAAATAATTCAACTCCTTAGTAACTTGTGTCTGTTTGTGTTTTGTGTCACAAACAATGTAAGTTAGAACAATAATTATTATTTGTAGTACTATTAAAGTGGTATTTATGAAATTATTTTCATATAATAAAAGTTTAGGGGTTGATGAAAAATCTGAAATATTATTACCCTTGATTTAAATGAACAGGTCCAGCACCCTTTTAAGAGTACTACACCTGTGTTCAAAGATATCCCAACTCAGAGGTCAATAGGATAGACTTCACCAAATTCAAACAACTTGACAAATGATTAAAGCCCTCATCTCAGGCATTCACTCAGAGATATTGAAGTCATCTGACTGCATGTTAAGGACAGAGCCTGGAGGTTGTTTTTCCTGTTGTCAGGTGATGCTAGGTGGGAGAACACAGCCAGGGAAATTCACCAATTCCTGTCTTTCAATTGACCTATATTAAAATTGCAAGGATATAAAAGCAGTCATCAGACTAATCATTAAGGGAAAATAAGAGTTTGGCTATCAGGGCACCATAATATATACTAGCAGAGTCACTTACGTGGGATGGGCAGCCATACAATAAATAATAGATAAATAATGAAAATAATAAATTATTAAATGACATTAAGTAATAAAATATGTTAAAAATTATAGTATCTAGATAAATATGAATGTACTTTGAGGAAGAGCTTTTTGTTTATAAATAAGGTCTTTTTATGATTTTGTTACAAGAAATGGATGTACGGACAGATGAGTAGAGAACTAGATGACTTTCTGGAAGAAAAAGCCTTCCTCCAACTTAGTATACATTCCTTGAATGTGAAATGAACATCAGATCCTACAAGATCCTGACATGGACACAAGCATTCTCCCGTACACAGCAAGATCTATGTCTGCAACAGCATTGCAAAGAATTTTACACAGTGACTGAAAGTGTATATTTGTATTAAAGCCAACAAGTGTTCTGAATCATCTTCTGCTCCAGAATAGTGCCACTGTTAGAATCTCTTCTGTTGATAGGTCTTTAGATTCACCCATGTATGCCTGTTTTTTCCCCCTCTTTAAGCCACACGCTATGAATTCTGTTCTTATGTCTAATTAGCTTTGTCATTTAAAAGGATTTGTTCTCCCTTCTTTCTTGATGTAAGATTTTCCAGACTTTCCAAAACTTTTGCTTAATAATGTAATTTTACCATAATGATATATGCCTTAAAGACATTGAAAACATTGCACACCCTCTGACTAGTTTTCTTATTACAGTATAATATAGATAGATGTGTTTCTAGCTGCAGTAATTACTTTAATTTCATAGAAACATAAGACTGTTGAGTAATCGGCTATTACTAATGTAATTACTCCAACAAAATTGGTTCACAAAGAGACAGTGTTACGAGTTGTTCCTACATTGTACTAATTTAATAGTGAGTCACATTTATCTCTGAAGTGGATAATACAGGATAGCAAAAATCCACATTGTAATTAAGATGTATGAAAAGCATTTTTTGAGATGTACTATCGAGCTTTTCAAAATAAATCTGTATCTCTCTGTCATTCTTATGCCATTATTGTTTGTATTACACTGCCTCCTGAAAATCAAGGCATATATTTGTCTTATTTGAATACTAAAGATGCATTTTTTTACATTTAAGCAGGTAAATATTAAACAGGTAAATATTTAATTTCATAAGCAGAGAATGTGCACTACACAAGGTTCTCTAGATTTCCCCCCTTTAGTTTCATAGTTTTTAAAAAATGTTTTGAGTTGAATTCTCAGGGATGACACTTTGGTGTATTTTTTTATAAAATGCATATGCAGTTCCTTCTTTTGGTTTCATATACATTAAGATAGAAAATAGACACAGCTCAGTTTTAGAGAAGAAACTGAATGAGGTTGATTGTTTGCTATAACAGATCCTTTGCAAATCTATTGCTTCGAACTAGATTGTAAATAGAATTGATGCATGTTTCACTTGTCATGCTGCAAGCCAGCTACCAAAAGTCATATCATATCATATCATCTCACAAGATATGAAATTATGATATAACATAACAACATTAATATTAAATTATGCTATATTAATATATTGCTGGAGGGATGTGCACTGTTTAGGTTTCTAGAAGGATTGCATTTCTGTGACTAATCATACGCTTCCTATGAACTAATTGCAAACCACTGTGCAAAATTGTCCCGGCTCTTGATGGATAGCTCACCAACAAAATAAGGAAGAAGTAAGAATATTGTGCCTCTTTTATCACCAGATTGTAGACTTGAATATGAGTTCATATCATGTTCAGTCATTGATTTCTGGTCCTTCTTTAATGGTACTCTAGGCATTCATTCTGCCACTTCATCTTCCAGAAATTTAAAACTGAGGTCCTTGCTCATTGAATGGGGGTGTCTTGAATATTATGCCTCAAGCCTTCAGTTTTATGTGGTACACATTTGTTGCACAATGCTGTCTAGCACACACAAATAGTTAAGGATATTTATTAGCTGAAATGTATGCCATTGTTACAAAACTAGTAAATAAAGCAAATGGAAAACAGTTCCTTTCATTCTAACAATTGAACATTAAAACAGGGACCTGAACAAAGGGGAGTAAAATAAGAGTAAACAAATTTTATATGCACACACATACAGACCATGTTAGGAATTCATTTCAAGAATAATTTAAATATAGAATAATCCAGCTGAACCTTTTACCGCTCTGCTAATTTGCAGCAAAATACTGTAATTATCAATTATGATAATATAAAAGCAGGAGAAATAGAATTAGAAAATAAACTAAGTGGGTTACTGTATATATTTTATCAAAATTAAAAATAATTTCAAACAATACTTTAGTTCCGCAAGTAAAAGACATTATTCTACTTTCAGTCCTTTGGATTTAAATTCAGAGTGAAGAATCTGTGATAAACATCTCCCAAATTCTTCTAGGATCATTTGTTCAGCTAAGCAAATGGAGTAATCTTGTTTTTCTGCCTCTTCACCTTGAGCAAGAAGACAGGCACATGTTGCCTCAACCACCTCCCAGGATATACACGTACTAGATTGTCTATTACAACAAAACAATATATAATTACATTTTAAATATATAAATGGATGCAAAGGGAATTACCATACCTAACCACCAAATTCTAAAGTTACTCATGGCTTAACTAACTGTTCTGTGACAGACTTGTATTTCAACACTGACTCATCCCTGAACAGGTGTTGAGTGACAGCAGAAGTCGGTCTGAGAGACACCAACATTTTTTTCAATTTGCAGCTTTCTTTCTGCAACCAATCTCCTTTTATACAGGATTCCAATCTCCTGGAATCCTGTGAGGAAAAAGATAGGGACATGGCTGTCTGCAGGGAGGACAATTGCTGAAATATGAGCCATGTTACAGTGCAATCTCTGCATACTTGCATGTGATGTTTTGGCAGAAAACTGACAAAAATGTATTCAATGAATGATCAGATTGGGACAAGCATATGAAAGGGGAGTTTTAAATTATGTACATCTTGTTATTTTGGCATCTTCCTGGCTACCTATGGGTATTGGATGCACAGTAAAGCAGGGGAAAAAGTTGAATTAAGCTCCCTGCTGTTACCCACCACTCCTTGCACTTTTAATGCAGTTTTTCAGTACTTTAGTTCATTCTTTCAGAACTCAACTAATGCCAAATGCTAATTTTAGTCTTTAGTCAGACAATACCAATTAGTAATAAATGTACTTTTAAAAATACCAAACTAGGGGGATCTTTTTCCACAGAAATAGGTAGGTTTCATAGTTGTCTCTCAAACACTTATATTCTTGAAGTAACTACATAAAAATAGTAAAGATTACTTTACTTTAAAGATTTCTGAAGGTTTCCCTTATTGATTACTAATCTTTGAGTGACTGAATTCAATTTTTTTAAAAATCTAGATTATGGAGGTTTCCATGTTTTCTATTTGCATCCATATTGTAATTTAGTACAAATAAGATAATAAATTCTGAAAGAGTTCTGAAATTGTAGTTGTATAATACACAGAACATATGCATTTCTATATGTGTTAGAAAGTACAGTTGTTACAAATTACTGAGTGTGGTTTGGATAATTACAAAGGAAAAAAAACAGGTTGGAAGTCAATTATCTAAAAATATTCTCATAGTACAAAAGAAATGTCTTAGAAAAATATCACATAGGTAATTTCTACCTTTCTTTCTTGGTTTTTGATAATATTTCAGAGTTAGAAAATGATTGAGAATCATTTCCTTCATTGGTTTTAAATTCCATTTCAATTGGCATATTCATTAATGTTTTTCGATCAGGGCTTTCTTCATAATTTTTGCATCCAACACATTTGCAGATAGATGAGCACATAATTTTAGCCTACAGAGAAACAAAATATTCCTTAAAAAACATGTTATTTAATAAAGGTCCACAATAAAACAACAACGAGATTGGACTGTTCAACAATCCAATCATAGAGCTGCTTCGTTGGAAATAAATCTCTTGAGTCCAGTGATATTTCCATTGAACAAATATTCTTATATCCAAAGAATGCTTAAATATTTTAAAATGAGAGGAATTTGTCTAATCCCTATCCAATTTTCACTTACCCTACTATTCTAGGAGGTTTTCAATCTCTTTAAAAGATTTGGGGTTCAAACTGTTTAGAAGATGAAGGACGAATTGAAAAGAAAAACCTCACTCTCTGTTCTGTAAATGAAAATGTTCTCTGTCCAGAGGTGCAATCATAGACATTTAGGATCTAAAACTATACATTTATTTTAAATCTTTATTTACAGCTTTTCCAGATCTATGAAGCCATACATAGCAAACAACACCATTCACATCTACAAGATAGGTATAGACAAGATTAGGTAAGTTTGACTCCTGGTAATTTCATAGATTTCATATTAGGGCTATGCAGTGTTTTGGATTTTATCTCTAAAAGTGGTTCAAAGTCTGCAAAACATAAAGCAGTTCAAGCAACTTAAAGTGCAGCCCTGTTAGGATGTTGTATATTACCACTTCATTCATACATTGTTGCACTTCAAATTATCAAGATTCAAATCAGCCCATTGCACAGTCCTGATGTCTGTGTTATCTTCCTGGTTACAATGTAAAAGTGATTTGCCATTATCTTTTTCTGGGATTTTTTTTTCAGATTTCCCAATTTTTGGATTTCTTAGTGGCATCCTGCCCTATCCTGCCCTGCCCTGCCTTGCCCTACCCTACCCTTAAAAAGTCTAACCACCTCTTAGCTTTTAAGAAGCAACAAAAATTGGCTAGCTACTGCCATTCAGCATGCTATATAAGCAGGCATTTTGCCCTCCTTGTTTTCTTATTTGCCATTCTCTCATCCCTTTTTAGGCTTTTTAAAATTTAAAAACCCTTTTTCCCCACAATTGCTTTCTCTAATTTTCCCTGATCACATATGCTGGAGGTTCCCCCAAATAAATATTCTTAATGCTTAGTCTAAGTAGCCTTCTGCTATGATAATACTTTTATAAAACTGATGAAAAAATACAAACCTCAAAGCATTCACAGTAATTTTTTAGGCACCCTGAACGCTTACAGTTACAACCTTTATTATGTCTTGGTTTAATATCTCCAAGTTTTCCTTTTCCAATCTTTGGCAGGAAAGCTTCTGGATTTCTGTCAAGACAAGCCTAAATAAAACATATTATTCATATAGAATATATCTCTCAAGCAATTTGAAGAAAAATATTAGCTTACTTTCTTCCTAAAAGCAAACCTTTCCTAAAGCAGATTATGGTTCACTCTTTGCAAGAGACAGAAATTTCTAAGCATACTATTGCTTCTATGAAATAGAATTATATAAAGCAAAGTGTCTGTCAAGCAGAATTTCACTGTCAAATTATCTAAAACGCTGACATGTATTTTATTAGTACATTAAGAATCCTTGATCTGAATCATTAGTCCTAAAAGAATTTTTGCATGTTTCACATGTGTGAAGAAACCCTAACAAGAACAGAAAATATGTTCTCCAAAGCATGTTTTTTTTCCTTTGTATCCAAAGAATTGCTCAAATCTGTTAATTGTGGTAACATTCCTATTATTTCCAGAATTTTCCAGTAAAGATGAATTGAGAACCAGTATGCAAATCACCTATGGTGACATGAAATTGCATCAAAGGGACTGAACAGAGATGTTTTTAACATAATTTCTCTGTCCCTAATTCAAGTGATATGTAAAAAATGAGATGGTGTTAAGATATCACTATAGGTAGTCCTCAAGTTACGACCACAATTGAGCCCAAAATTTATGTTGCTAAATGAAATATTTATTGGGTTTTGCCCCATTTTACAACCTTTCTTGCCAAAGTTGTTAAGTGAATCATTGCAGTTGTTAAGTTAATAACACGGTTGTTAAATGAATCTGGCTTCCCCATTGACTTGCTTGTCAGAAGGTTGCAAAAGGGGATCACATGACCCTAAGAGACTGCAACTGTCATAAATATGAGTTACTTGCCAAGCATCTGAATTTTGATCACATGACCATGGGGATGCTGCAATGGTCATGTGTGAAAAATGGTCATAAGTCACTTTTTTCAGTGCTGTTATAACTTTGAACAGTCACTGAATAGAACTTTGTAAGTCGAGGACTACCTGTATTTCAATAGGCTGTTTTAATTAATATGTTTACTCAATTTGATATCTTGAAATATAATGAAATAGGTAAATGCAATTCATTTAAAATGCTTTAAAAATAACACAGCAACCTAATAAACATAAAGTAAATAATTTGCATATCGAAATAAAAAGAGAACATAGTTGAATTACCTTAATAGCCTTAAACCGTTCTATTTCATGCTCTGGATTGTTATAACAATTATTACAGTTGCAATTACTACAGAAATCACCATTGGCAAAACAATCGCAGTATCTGTGTTTAACAAGAGAAGTATATTAAATTGTTTGTAGTTCAACATTTTCAGATAATGCGCACTCTTATCTACTATTTTTAATTTATTTAAAATACTTGTACGGTCACTTGTCTTAACATCACAACTCTGGGCAGCTCATGAACCATAATAAAATCCATCAAAACAGTAAAACTATAATACAAAAAAAGAAAGAAAAAAAAAGAATCGCTGTACTTAAATCAACAGTTCCTAACTGATTCACAACTGCAGTTACTGGGCTCCAGCTTCACCTTACCCCAATGCCTGAAGGAACTGCCAGGTTTTCAACTCCCTCTGAAAGGCTAGGAGAATGGAGGCTTGCCAGATCCCAGATTATTCCTCCCACCAAGGGGTGCTGCAGAAAAGGCTTGCTACCTGAGTCCCACTAGGGAAAGAACTTGGACCAAACGCACTGTACTAGACTGAGAAATATGTAAGTTTAATTATATAGATTTCTATTAGTTATATCCTTTATATATTTTGCCACATATGTAGGTACTTTGAAGACTTACAACAAATACGCTTCCAGAAAATCAGTTGCGCTAAAAGGCTCTGGGATACATTCATATACTCCAAGCATTTTATTATTATCATTTATTTGTTATGTTATCTTTTGGGATTGCTTTCCATTGCATGCTGTTGCTCTATGTTTTGATATGCATCTAATTTGATGCAAAAGTTATTAACCATTCTTCCCATCTTCACTGTGAGCCATGTTTAACTTAAGGTTATGTAAATAAGAAAAAATACAGAAAATAAAAGGCCTAAATGAAGTTCAAATAAACTTATATCCTTGTGCCATGCATAGTATTTAGCATATAAAAGCAAAAGGCAACAATTTTTTCACTTAATACTATCAGGAAAATGTATAGTAATTTAGTACTATAATGTACATTTTGTCATGATTAGTTATTGTGTGGTATATTTTTTTAAATTGAAGAAAAAGTTGCTTTAGAAGTGTAAAAGCATGTCTATGTTTATTCAAGTATTATATTTGAGTTTCCTGCAATAGCATCTGCAGGATATATTTGAGTATATATGAAAGAAACAAATTAAGCTTCTCCTTTCTTACATAGCCAAATAATATCTCAGTGACGTTTTGTTTACTTACAGTTTGAGGCATTGTGATTTAGTGCAATTGCATGGCTTCTTTGATTTTGTATCCCAGGAAGCATAAGGAAACCTAAACAAACACATGTCGCATCTAAACTACTATGAAGCATTTATGGAGTTAGTGCATATTAGAAAGATGAAACCCACATAGCAGTAAGGTAACAAAAAAAATATAATTGCTTCATTTCCATTTCTTCATTTAGTTTCTCTTTTTGGTATCCATGAATTCTACATTTTTGGTAGAATAATTAAATTATAAGCAAAAAATATTTACGGTATTATTTAATGTTTAAACTGTATACTTTGCATTTTTATTAAATTATCTAGCGATGTCACAACAGATAGTATTATATTGGGGAAAGTGCCCAAATATATTTAGTTCCAAAGTATACAGTATTCTCATGGTTGATTATGTAATAATATGAATCCTAAAATGAATTTTCCTTGCAAAATTTAACAAAGTATCTCAAAATGTAACCTTTTGCTCACTTGACTGAAATGAAACATATCAAATTAGAATCTGTGTGCAGGCATCAATAAAATATATGTACTATATAAAAATACTTTGTTTTATTGAAAACAATTGTAAACAATAGGTTTTTCAGTCTGCAGAGATAATTATATAAATGCCTATTTCATATAATGATGCCAGGAATGTATGCATTTTTACTATTCTTACCCAACTAAAGTTAGTTTTGTTGGCTCCTGAAGAGTCAGATCTGAACTGCTTGTATGTATGGATCCATTATCAGGCTGCTCAAAATAAAATCCAAACATTCTATTTGCATTATATTATCATACATTTACACACTATATAATATTACTATCAAACATGAATAGTCTTAGAGAACATCATTTGAAAGAACTGATACTTTAAATCACTGCCTTCATAACAGACTGTCTTCTATTACTATATATTGCACATTGTTGATTAGGAGCAGCTCCAGGTTGTTGAGCAGAACCCCAGAGAGCAAAAAGATTATCTGCATATGCTGTTCAATACTACAAATGTTGGAAATGTTTGAAAGAGTGAAAAAATGAATAGGTGAAACAAAAGAAATTATATCAATGTACAGAGGATTTGAATAAAAAGGGAAAGGAAGGAAGCAATAGACAGAAAAAAATGAGAAGCGTATTTGGGTGAGAGAGTTGGAAGAGAAAAATTAATTGATACATATCAATACATGTTGTAATTAAAACAAGTAATGAATGATGATGAAATGAGAAATGAAAAAGACAAAAAAGAGCAAAGCCAAAGGAATGAGAGACTAGGTAGATAACAATTAGGTAAAGAGTAAGGATTAGAACTGGCTCTATAGTAGATAGTATGACATGGTTGCTATTAGCTTGGTAAAATAAAATAAAATAAAATAAAATAAATAAATAAAATAAAATAAATAAAATAAAATAAATAATAAAATAAAATAAAATAAAATATAAAATAAAATAAAATAAAATAAAACAAAATAAAATATAAAATAAAATAATAAAATAAAATAAAATAAAATAATAATAAAATAAGATAAAATAAAATAATAAAATAAAATAATAAAATAAAATAGTCACAGAGCATCATAAATATCTTGGAAGATATTGGATGGTAAGGGGATGGCATTTCTACTTTTTGGGAGGGCAGAGCCAGGTATCTCAGAAAGATTACCCTGCTTCACTGAAGGTTATTGATTGGAGATATCCATTCAGGTGAAGGGAAGGATACTAGCTCTGTTAAACAGGGTGGGTCGGAATAATCTCCAAACATTTTGTTGCTCAAGTACAATATATTATTTCTACTATGAGTGTTCACAGACCCTATACTTTTTCTGTACTCTAGCTGTTTTTCAGCAGGGAAACTTTCCCCCCCCCAAAGTGCAAATAAGTTGAGAAATTATTCTATTCAGTTTCATGAAACATGGTGGTTGCCTCAATATATCCTCACCCTGCAGAGGTAATGGAAAGCTCCACACAAGGGATGCCAGCCCTTTCTTTAATATATGAAATGTATTTATTTATCCACACAGATTTAGAAACTGCTGGACTCCAAACAATTCTGGGTGGCTTACAATTATCAGCATGGAAAGAAAAAAACAGTCAATTGCATTACTACGCCTTCTGCAGAGAAAGCCTACAATAAAATCATAGAAATAATAAGCATATAGTATAAGATTATAAGATTAAAAATACTGAGTTGGAGGAAAAGGAAAAAATATACTTACCTCTTCAGCACAGGTATTCAGTTTACCTGCAACTGGCAAAAACTGCCCAAGTACAGATGTTACCGAGTTGCTTGCATCTAATAAGAAAGTGCTTATTGAATGACATTTGTTGCAACAATATCTTCAGTACATATCTATGTAACATATCTAGATAACTAAGAATGAAGATTTTTGTTACCAAAAGCAACACTTGATATTTATTGTGATATATTTATTTCTGAAATAGAAGGATATCCTTTAAAAGGATATGTATCTTACTCCCCTGATAGGCAGAAATATGCTAATAAAATCTAGAAATGTCCTTCCTAGTGGAGGAACAATATCCTTCCAAATTCAGATGCCAAATAGCAACAAATAAATGTGGGCAGAAAACTGAAAAACTTGTTCCTATCTGTGAAGCAAAACTAGAGATCAGATTGAAAGAAAATAGGGAAAGAGCAAACAAATTAAATGACAATACTACAAAATAGACAGGCTGCTTATTGGAGCTGAAGTTCTTTAAGTGGTCATATGTTCCCACAAATGAACTTGCATGCGTATATATTGTATCTCAGACAATGTTCCATGCAGGAGGGATTATTACTATTATGATAATTTCTTGCACAGTCAGACTGGATTTGGCATTTTTGTCTACCTATTAAGTCCTTTCCAAGGATCTGGGATAGGCAGATGTTGTTTGATGGTCTTACACAGGATGTAAGTTGTTCCAAGTAAGACTTCATTTTGCAATTGACTGATGTGTTTTTGTCAATGATGATGGTGTTTGAGCGGATACTCCAGATGTTGTTGTTGTTATTGTCTCCATTTCCCTCTATATATTCAAAATATTCCTCACTGTTATCTGAAATAGTTACATTCTAAAAAATAGTAATATCTCTATAGAAATGGAAGGTAGATTATTTGAATGCAGAGATGACAACTTAAACATTCATGATGTTTTTTTTCATAATTTCTGTGCATCATGAAAATGGGAAAGTAGCAAGTTAGTTATATTTACTGGAGATGAGTCAGGCAGTTGGATACTGTACTGAAGAAAGCATAACTCTACTAAAGCTTATAACTATCTGAGACTGTGCACCTTATTTATAGTGAGTGATGAATAAGATATTTGAGAAAGAATATCAGCTTTTGTCTGATACAGGCCTTCCTAGAATGTGATCAGACTCCATTCTAGTAAATGTTTTCAGATTCTCAATGGTAAACACAAATGTGTTAGCTGTTATGCAGTAAAAAATAGTGCCTGAGTAGTGGTGGTGGTAAATACATTGTGAAGAAAAAGCGAGTGCTTGCTTCAGAGGTGAAATGACATACAAAAAGTTAAGACATTGTATGAAATGTTTTTGTGCAAACCCAGTAAAATAGCTGAGTACATCAATGTTAAGATAATGCAGTGAAATCTTTATTCATTTCAAAGGTGATGAGATCAAGGTAGAAGCATAATCTGAATAACATGAAATTTCATATCACTTTCAGTAAGAATGTAACATTTACATGGAATATGAAACTTACTGTATCTATAAAAAGAGAGAAATGGATGAAATAAACGATCCTCACTGTTCCCAAGACAGTTTTTTTCTCACTGACGTGATAGTCCAAAGGAATATAACCTTCAAAGACAGTAGATGAAACAGTAAAGTAATAAGAATCACTTTTGCCATCAAAGCAGGAAGTATCACAGAGACCAAGAAGGAACAATGGATATACGTGCAAAATCTTAAGGAATTTATGAAGGAATCTTGTAAGATGCTATGAAAAAATTGAAAATCTCTGCAACAGAAGTTGCAGAACAAAGATGGTAAAAAAAAAAGGCTAATCTCACGGCATAAAGAGAAAGCAGAATCTTGACAAACTGTAACTGCATTAATTATTTTTAATATTGTACAAAAATGTACTGTCTATCAGTTCATTGAAATAGGGATCACTTTTTTGGTGGAAGGATTCTGTACAGTATGTTAAGGGGAGAGGGAAATCACAGAGGAATTATGTTTGTGTGACTTCAGATATAGAATTTAGATATCAAGCCTGGCACTGATGAATGAGAAATACTATGCAGGAGTGGGGAATTCTTTCGGATATTTGTACAAAAGTCAAGAGTGCTCAAGACATGAAACATATAATAAACAAGCGTATACAATCATTTTTGAACTAGAACTACAAATAATTAGTTGCATTTATAAGACTACAGTATCTAATATATTGGAGATATAGTTACTGCATGGCCAATATCATAAAAACTCTTTTAACGATCCTGTAATCCCATAATTCAGGGTGACTGGATGGAGCTGAGTGTTTACTGGCCGGATGCCCTTCCTGATGCCACGCAGAGTTCACAGCAGATATTTTTTTATTTCGCCCTAGGAGAGAAACATCTACCCCTACTTAGGATTGCTCTCTCAACCTTTCCAGTAAGAAGCAAGCATCTTCACCACTAGGTCACTCGCATTCCATGATCAATACTATAATAGACTGTAAAACCTTGGGAATGATAAACAAAAGCACTCAAAACTGAAAATGATGGTCTCCCATTGCAAACTGCTGATATTTTTAATTGAACAGACAGTTACATGGTATCAGTGCTGTATTGGGAGCTAGCTTTTCCCAGAGTGGGAGAGTGAAGATTCTGAATAGGCAAGTATCACTGACAGCAGAATGTGGGAAATAGTTTATAGTTAATCTGTGAAAAATATAGAAAGAATGACAATTTTGAATCCAAGAGAATATAAGGTTGAGAATCATCACATCCTAGAAGATATCAACTGCTAATAATGGGTTCAGTTTTTGGGTTTTAATACTAAGTCCATCTAAGCCAGGGGTAGGCAACCTCGGCTCTTTTATGACTCGTGGACTTCAACTCCCAGAATTCCTGAGCCAGCATGGCTCAGCTTCAAAACCTCTCCTTTTCCCCTCAGCATGGCTGGCTCAGGAATTCTGGGAGTTGAAGTCCACGAGTCACAAAAGAGCCAAGGTTGCCTACTTCTGATCTAAGCCTTGCTGTGTTGAGTCCCCGAAAAGCTTTTCCATAAGTTGTGGGCAATTTTTTTCCCATTAGCTATTCTTGCTTTGGAATCTTACTTGCCATATTAGCAAAATTCAAAATTTAAAAAATCCAAAATAATACATTTGACTATATTCAGCTTTGGTTTCTTTCAAAATCAAGAATCAGCCATTATCTTATCATTTCAACCAGCAAATATTCCCAATATTTCCATGTTATCTACTAACTATCTGTATTAGTATCAAGGATAGTTCTCTTCTGCATCCCTTTACCATTTCCTTGAGGAAGTTTTCAGCAATCAAATTGTGAATTTCCTGAAGGATCAGACTTGGAAGTGTTTGCTCTCCAACAGACACCAGGTAATTAAAGTGACTACTTGATATATTAGGAAGCAAAAATAAATACTACTCTGACATGGGCCCTGGGTATATCTATTGTAGATCCATGGTCAGCTGGCTGCATAATTAGTGCCCCAAAGCCTCTTATGCTCAGCAACATTGGCCTGGAAATTGCCAACCTGCTGTCATGTTCCTTGGTGGCTGTTACTTTTGAGCTGATGCCAGGCTGCTTTAATGTATTTTTTTAATTAATTTTTTTAAACAAGAAGATAAAAGGCAACACATCTAAAGGAAAAAGGAAAAAAGAAAAGAAAGAAATCAAAGAAAAAGCAAAAATAAAAAGATTAAAAACAGTTAAGAAAGAAAAAAGTAAAAAGAGGTGGCTTCCAATATTCGTCACGGTTATAAGTACAAATATATTTTAACCTCTCTCTGTAAAGTTCCATCAGACTACTCTTCTTTCTTGAGCTGGTGTTGGGCTTTATAAGCAAGACCAGCAAGGAAGTAAGGTTCAGCTTCAGGAAATGAGCCAGGAGTTAGGACTACCTCTTCCCTGGGAAAGATGGAGGGTAGTGATCAGAAAAAACCAGATCTGATTGCCCTACTCTGAAAGGATTTTTGCCAGCAGGGAATAGGAAAGACCAATCAAAGCAAGATCTGTTTTTCAGTGAAAGAAAAGAAGAAAGAATAATGCCAGGCAAGAAGAGATAAGAAAAAGACCAAAACAAGGAAAGATCTCTCTGTTCATAAAGGAAAGATGAAAAAGGAAAGCAGGATGGGTTTCTTAATTTAATCATCCTAGATATGCTTTCGAAAACAAAAATTACACATCAGCTCAATAATAAAACTAAACATTGATGGATTAGTTAATGAAAAATACCCAAGTGGTCAAGGTAGAATAACTATTTTGTAGCTCTATTTTGCAAGTAGCTGTTTCACAGTATTTTTTTTAATACAATGCATTTATGCATACTGTGACACTTTTCATTTTTGATTAAATTTTTGTATTAATATATGGAAATACTTTAGCGTTTTATGACCCTCAGAATAATGTACTAGTACTCATGTGATATTGACTGTCTGAATCTAAGATCTTTGCAATAATGAAAAAACTGATCTCCTTCTCCTTTCTTTCCCCCCCTTGTTTTCTTTAAATGTAGGAGAAACTTTATGAGAAAGATACATAGACATTTGAAGATTATTTCTGCACAATGTGCTTAAATTGGTAGTTGCAAGAAAAAAGGCAAGGTCAAAAATATTCTGAGGAAACAGCAGCAGAATGCTCAGACTGAGAGGAGCATAAGATATAGATTCTGTAAAGTTTCACATGAGGGAATGATGACTTGACAGTAACAACTTGATTATTATTTCTCTTTCACGAGGGGAGAAATTTGAGCTCCAATGTGAATTATAAATTGCCTAAATGTCAAATTCAGCATAAAGAAAGTTTCCTTCCATTTTTGATGGATGACAGAGAATATAACCTTGTTATTGCCCATTTCCTGTACCTTCCATGACAAATATACTTCCCTGTTCTGTTGGACCTTATTAGCAGAAAGAAGACAGAAAAATAATTCTCATTCAGGTAGAGAAATTGCTCCCACATGGGAGACCCGGCATCATAATCAGTAAGCTGCTCAGCCCCTTTTCTTTTTCAAATCAATTTCAGAATTCTGATTCCTCAGAGTCAGAAGGTAGCACCACCCACTGTGGCAATAAGATTTAAAAAATAGTTCATTAAGAGAAAGCTAAAAGCATCCACAGAACCTGATAGTTTCATGAAAATGAAATGACTGCAGTGCTAACTCTAGCTCTGTGCATTATATACTGTATATGCATGCAACATAATGATGCACATATACAACACATAGAGCTTTAGTCACGATGCTCATTTTGTCATTTGTCCCTTGTCCCTTTATAGATATCCATGGGAAAGGAAAGTAGCTATTTCTTTAATAAACATCTGAAAAAAGAGAACATTTGCAAGCAAATACCAATTTTCTGTCATAGAAGAAGGAGAAACAAAATTGAAAATAGTTTGATCCCCCCACCCCCTCCCCCCCAGGGAAGATATTTCCAGCTTCACTGACATATCACTGCCTATTGCAGTGATGGCGAACTTTTTAGAGACTGAGTGCCCAAACTGCAACCCAAAACCCACTTATGCATCGTCGAGTGCCGGGTGGGTGTGGCCCATTGGCTGGGTGTGGCCAATTGGGTGGGCNTTTTTTTTTTTGCACATGGCGGCGGAGGCCTAAAGCAAAAAGGTTTTATAAAACCCAGCTCAAGGCCTAGGACTGGGGCGACGGCACGGGTGCCCACAGAGAGGGCTCTGAGTGCCGCCTCTGGCACCCCTGCCATAGGTTCGCCACCACTGGCCTATTGGATCAGACAGAAAATGCAGAAATAAGTTTCCCCACTGCAGGAAAAATAGGCATACTGTACAATCATAAATATTTCTTCCAATATGAACCTATATTCATTTTTGTGTAGAAAACATAAAAACTAAGAATACAGAGATACATGGCAGTGTAAAAGTTGTGAAAAAAAGTTTGTAAAAGAAAGGAAATACTTCTTCCTTTTTGAGAGAGGAAAGCTCTCAGGTGAGAGCAGGCTGACCAGAAAATGGCCATCACCTGTGCTGCAATATATTCTCCTCTCTCTTTAAGCCTTTTCCAAAGTCAGCAAAGTTGACTATAAAAACCAGGCTGAGAGGCAGCTGAGGGTGTTGTGTGTTGGAGAGAGAGAGAGAGAGAGAGAGAGATAGAAGAGTGTGTGTTTGAAAAGCAGTCAGACATAGTTTTTTTCTAGCAGTATTTGGAAGCAGGAATAGTAGAACTCATAATGAATAGTAGTTGCAGTAGTAGGACTTGCAAGTAGTAGTTGTAGCAGTGGGGGAAAGTGCAGTGGTGAGTAGTAGATAAATAAATTGGAATGCTTGTGCACGTTGTCTAGGAACCTATCGTGTTGGCTCTTTTGTGTCTTGAGCCCACAGAATTGGATATAATTAAAAGAACCTGTGACACATGTTGTGGTGGGATATCCATAAATAAGTGGGGTATCCAACTCAGGATGGCAACCACACAAGTGGGGGCTCAATTCAAGTTCATTGTATACTCTATGAAAAGGAAACAAATATTAGCTATAAAAGGGAGTTTGGCCTTTGCAGAATTCAAACTTTGCAAATAATAGCCAACATCTCTTACCAGAACCTACACCACATACATAAACAAGGAAAAGATAAAAGGTTCCTTAGAGTGGATACCTGTCTCTACCATAGTAGTAATCTCTATGTCTGGAGTTAAGCCAAAGAAGGTGAGCCAGAAAGGTGACTAGGCTCAAATACTTGGACCAACATCATCACAGAAATGTTAAAGCAACAGCAGCAGGAAAGGCTTTCATTAATTAAACAGGAAGAGCAGCTGTGGAGGAAGACAGAAACGAAAGATAGGCTACAATGGGAAAAGAATGAAAGAGGCAAGAGAATTTAGGGGCTAATAGATTTACTTAAAGGGGTCCAGTCACCAAAAGGGGCACAATCACCACTTAAGTTTTTCAGAATGCATAGAGAGGAGATGGTCCCAAAGAAATAAAAATTCCTAAGATGTCAGAAGTTCTAACATAAAAGCGTATTTTGTCATGTTTGAAAGAGTTGCTATCTCTTGTGAATGGGTGGCCTCAATAGCCCCATTTTTAAGAGGAAAGGCTTTGAGAGCTTATAGTAATCTCGCAACAAGAGAAGTAATGGATTACTCCCATGTCCAAGAGATAATCCTATACAGGTATTATATAACTCCCAGAGGTTTAGGGGCTACACATATGACAAACATGAAGGGATTCATTAATTGTGCACAAGATTGAAGACTTAGACAGGAAATGGTTGAGGCCAGATGAAAGGAGCAAAGAAAAAGTGGCAGAAGAAGTAATTTTAGAACAGTTTCTACAGGTACAGTACTCTCTACCAAAGTGAGGTTTTGGGTGCAAAACACAACCCAGAAACAGGTCAAAGGGCAGTAGAATTGGCTGAGGACTTTATGGCAACAAAATGGTCAGAGGATGTCAGAAAAATAGATACAGAAGGAGAAAGAATAGGAAAGCCTGTTCTAGAAAGAAGCCTAAAGGGATAAAGGTGAAATAAATAAATAAATGCCCAAATAAAAGAGCATTGGTAATTGTTATTACAACTGTGGGACTTTTGCCACAACTAAAAGCCAGAGGAAAAGGAGAATGTCTGCAGTATGCAAGCATCTCTGGGGAGAAAAATTATAATCCCAGCAAGTTAATGGGATCACTATTAGAGGATTAGTAGGTACTGGGAGCAGACAAATGTTAATACATTCTCATTTAGTAAAAAGGCAGCATCTATGGGGAAAGAGCCCCTTACAAGTATGTTTGGGCAGATTGAAAAGGTTCCATTGGTTAAAGCCAGAGTGCAGACACAGGGAAAGGAACAGGTAATGGTGGTAGGAGTAATCCAACTTACCATGTAACCTAATGACTGGAATAGATTTTCCACTTACAGAGGGTTGGACTCAGAAAAAAGGATTCAAGAAGGAGGCTAAGGTAGAGGGTGTAATGACAAGAGCCCAGTCTAAGACAAATAAAAGAATGGAGCAGAAGCAGGAAGTGAAAGAACCTGGGATTTGTCCTAACTATCCTGGTTTCATAGGAGAAATGAGATGTCCTAGAAAGGAAAAAGCTTTATGAAAAGCTGACAAAACTTAGGCGTGAACTCCTAGGGATAGACACTCCTAAATGGGAAATTCACCTAGGACATTACAAAAGAAAAACCCACCATTAAAACATTGTTGGCTAGCAGCAGAAAAGCAGAGAAACAGGGAAACAATACCCAGATTCTAAGAAAAATCAGGGTTGCTGTACTGAATAAGGGTTTCATCCCTATATGAAGGAACTAATTGAACAGATAACAGTTCGCCAGGGAATACTGCAAGATGATTTTGGAACGAGTTCATGAAAATCCATGGTCTGGACATATGGATAGAATAGGATCACATACAGAATTTTGGATAGCTTTTATTGGCCAGGGATCTGTAAAGAAGTGGTCCAGGAATGTAGATCCTGCCCTATGTTTCAATTGGTAAAACCAAAAGGGGAATATGATAAAGTTCCCATGGAAAGATTGCCTTTAATCTCTATTCCTTTTTCTAAAATAGCTATGACATTGTAGGCCTTTTGCCACAATTAGTAAATGAGTATATCCTAGGTATCTGTGATCTTCCAATTCAGTATCTTGAAGCAGTTCCATTAAGAGATGGGACTATAAACATGTTTATCATATAACCAGGTGCAACTACCCTAGTAGAGCGTAGAATAAAAATGGGGAAACCTGACTTATTAGACAGCATCCATATAGGATTCCTGAGCAGTTGAGAGCTGACTTATAAAATAAAGTAGAAAAGATGCTCCAGATGGACATTATAGAACCACCTCAAAGTGACTGGCCTCTCCGATTTTATTGGTCCCAAAACCAAATGGAGACATATGAGTATGTGTAGACTTCAGGCAAATAACAGTAAAAAGACTCAAAGTTTTTTTTTACAAGTTTTATAAGTTACATGCAAAATGCCATAGCTTCAATATTCTATGTTACATGCTTGGGTAGTACTCTAGGAAAATCTGAAAAGCTGGAGTATTATTGCTACTGTACTTAGCAAATAGATAGCTTATGAATCAATAATGTGATTTGACACAAGTTACCCCCCTATATATTGGTATAATAGAAAAAGTTAATAGTTTTTTTCCTATAAGGCTATGTAAAACACTTATTGTATTTCCTAACACACATGTGCACAAGCACATTTCCTGAAATATACATATTTGTAATAAATTGCATGAAAAAAGCCCTGGCTTATAGAATGTTTTGCTATTAGTTTTTTATTGTGCTCTCTAATGTCCACTATTTGGATTCACTTCACCATTATTTTATATACCTTCTGTAGCAAGCTACCACACTGAGAGAGACTAATCTACTTAAAGTTGTTAAGGATGTTGTCTTATTTGTTTATTATTTAATTTATATAGTACCCATTTCATAGCAACTCTGTGCGGCTCCCAATAAAAAGGTAAACAAATTACAAAATTATTAAAATTAAAAGGACTGAATAAGAAGCTAAAAGCTAAGAAGATGGGCAACATGGGGGTGGATATTGTCTCTGTCAACCCCAACAGCCACCCCCAATATAGCAAGCCCATATCGGGGTTCCAGGCTAGCTGGCAGAGCCAGGCTTTCAGATCTAATAAATTAATACCCATTTATTGAAAGTCAGTTATTGGCATATATTATATAAAAATAAAAGTTTTAAAATGAAACAATATATACTTTCAGGTAGTTTTATGGTGGGGTGAGTAAGAAAAAACTTTAAATGTGTACGTTCAATAGGTTCTTACTAGTTATCTTAACAATATGTTTTGAAAAATCCCGAAATGCTTTATTTTGTTGTTTGCCTTTGTACTTTTCAAAATCAATGATTGCTATGTACAAAATTCAGGTTATTAATGCATATGATATTTTCATTGTTGATAAAAGAGTGACATCAGGTGGATAGTTTGTGCATAAATAGTTAGGTTTTTTAAGTTTCATCATGGCCTTTCCCCTTTCATAATATACAAATGCATATTTTTATTAACTCAATTGAGAAAGTTTTTCTTCTCCTACATTGTTACTTCAATTACGGTAACACTGCATTTTCTTGAAACTGAGACTGTTATAATTTGGAAAATGTAATGGTTTCCTCAGTTTTGTTGCCCTTTAAAAATTGCTGTAAATATACAGACAGGACCAGTATGCAATGATACAAGGTCTATATCAAAATGTAATAGAATATATCTAAATAGGAGCATGGATTCTGTGATCCTTTAGACCAGAGACTAGTAAGGAATGATGGAATTTTTTGGTGAAAAATACCACAGATTTTTAATCATTGATAAACCAAGAAAGGATAAAAATTTTAAAGCTGGCCAATGCACTTTAATTTTTTGGGAAGGAATAGATCCACAATGGGTAGGCAGGTAGGTCAATTATATAAAGTAGACATGAGGGATGGAGTTCTGTCTCTCCATATTATTATGACTTGAACAGATTGTACCATAATGTTCAATATATAAATAGCAATAGCACTTAGACTTATATACCACTTCATAGCGCTTTACAACCCTCTCTAAGCGGCTTACAGACTCAGCATATTGCCCCCAACAGTCTGGGACTTCATTTTACCAACCTTGGAAGGATGAAAGGCCGAGTCAACCTTGGACCCAGTGAGACTCGAACTGCCAAACTGCTATCAGCCAGCAGTCAGCAGAAGTAGCCTGAAGTACTGCATTCTAACCACTGCACCACCAGTGCAGTGGTGGTGTATCATTAGAGCTCCATATCAACATTTAAGATGCACCACCATAGACAATAATTTGAATATCAAAAACAATATATTTATTACAGATACTTACGCTGTTCTTGATACTGGGAAACCAAATGAATAGCTTTCAATTCTCTTGTCTCGGTATTGTTTACACAAAGTATATGAGTGCCATTTTTCAACTGACATATTATCTAAAATGCATAACCAATTATTAATTTGCTATAATTTTCTATATGTAGCAGAAATACTGTATTTATGTAAAAAGGTCTCATTAAGATCTTTATTTAAAACCAGCTTGTCAATTTCTGGTATTAACACTGAATATTTGTGTAGTTTTGGAAGAATACACATAGATGTCCTTACTCACACTTAAACAATGCTCAATACTTTACAGTTCTGTTTATTGCACACAATTGCAATCTTATGTACATTTATCAGGGAGAGGTCTTATTAAACTGAAAGGGTATTACCGTATTTTCCGGCGTATAAGACGACTTTCTAAACCCTGAAAATCTTCTCAAACGTCGGGGGTCGTCTTATACGCCCAGTCGTCTTATACGCCGGAAAATACAGGTATTCTATTTTATTCCTTTACACATGTGGTTTGGCATATTACTCAAGTTTTCTCTCCCCCCCTCTCTCTCACTCAAACTCTATATTTTAACTGGAAAAGTTGGGGGTCGTCTTATACGCCCAGTCATCTTATACGCCGGAAAATACGGTACTTCTGAATTATATATTTTAAGACTTGAGCTCTAATCTTTTGCATTAAATAATGAAAAAGAAGTCTGAGTGTCTGCATGCACATGAGAAGGAAAACTACATCCTCTCCATACCTACTACTGGCTTGTACCTTCAATATACTTTATTCTACCACTTGCAACTTTCACTTGGATAAGATTGCCTATTTATATTATAAAAACAATATCAAGCTTTTAAAAATATGTATTGTGCCACTTAGACAGCTATGTTAACCATAAAAAATTAAAGAAATTTTAATAAAAACATGTAAAATTATCTAATACAGATATATATTGTTATTATATTTACCACTTGAGGAGTGGAGTAATTTCTCTGTGAATAAGTGGATTCCTCCACAGCATTTTGTTCTGCTGCCAGATTGTGGCCTGCCTCTGTACCATTTGAACTGTGAAAAACACCTTCTTCAGTATTATTTACTACAAGGCTTACAGCTGTCTCTTTGATCTCATTCTGCAATACAAGCAATTTCATATTTTAAGTAGGATACATTATATTAATAATAATAATAATAATAATAATAATAAATTTAATTTATATGCCGCCCTTCTCCCAGCGGGACTCAGGGCGGCGCACAACATATTTAAAACAAAACATAAATACATTCCCCCCCGATAAAACCGAATTAAATCAAATTTTAAAGTTGTGTCTCTGTCAAATTGTTAAAAGATAAACCCCAAATAAAATCCTCCCNTTTAAAACCAGCTTGTCAATTTCTGGTATTAACACTGAATATTTGTGTAGTTTTGGAAGAATACACATAGATGTCCTTACTCACACTTAAACAATGCTCAATACTTTACAGTTCTGTTTATTGCACACAATTGCAATCTTATGTACATTTATCAGGGAGAGGTCTTATTAAACTGAAAGGGTATTACCGTATTTTCCGGTGTATAAGACGACTTTCTAAACCCTGAACATCTTCTCAAACGTCGGGGGTCGTCTTATACGCCCAGTCGTCTTATACGCCGGAAAATACGGGTATTCTATTTTATTCCTTTACACATGTGGTTTGGCATATTACTCAAGTTTTCTCTCCCCCCCTCTCTCTCACTCAAACTCTATATTTTAACTGGAAAAGTTGGGGGTCGTCTTATACGCCCAGTCATCTTATACGCCGGAAAATACGGTACTTCTGAATTATATATTTTAAGACTTGAGCTCTAATCTTTTGCATTAAATAATGAAAAAGAAGTCTGAGTGTCTGCATGCACATGAGAAGGAAAACTACATCCTCTCCATACCTACTACTGGCTTGTACCTTCAATATACTTTATTCTACCACTTGCAACTTTCACTTGGATAAGGATTGCCTATTTATATTATAAAAACAATATCAAGCTTTTAAAAATATGTATTGTGCCACTTAGACAGCTATGTTAACCATAAAAAATTAAAGAAATTTTAATAAAAACATGTAAAATTATCTAATACAGATATATATTGTTATTATATTTACCACTTGAGGAGTGGAGTAATTTCTCTGTGAATAAGTGGATTCCTCCACAGCATTTTGTTCTGCTGCCAGATTGTGGCCTGCCTCTGTACCATTTGAACTGTGAAAAACACCTTCTTCAGTATTATTTACTACAAGGCTTACAGCTGTCTCTTTGATCTCATTCTGCAATACAAGCAATTTCATATTTTAAGTAGGATACATTATATTAGAATATTAAGAATAAAATCTAATAATTTAAACAGAACATGCTGACATTGATACGTAAATAAGAATTTCAAATTGTCACTGTTTTTAATTGTCATTTAAATATTTTTAAAAGGAACATTTTCATTTTCTTTTAACAAGTGGCTAAAGAATATCAAAGAAAATATGGCAAAAAAAAATTTGCAACTTCTCCAGGGAAATGCCTGCTTTATGAGCTGCAGCCATTTGGTTTTTAAGAGTTTCATCAAACACCCCTACACAGTTAGCAGTTGTAAGACAGGGTGTTTTTATGTTATTTATTTTTTGTTTTATATTCTGAATGTTTGTTTTTAGCAATCCTAAAGCAGATTCTATTAAAATATTAGACTTTGTCTCTTTTTTATTCTTTTCCATTACCAATCCTCTCCCTTGTAATAAAAAGGATACAATAAAAAGGATGAGCAATACAGTAACCCATAAATGACTAATATGTATAATAAATACTCTGAAAACATAACTCAGGGCACATATAGATACGGTACATAGAAACAAAGTTCAGCTTCAGAAGGTTTTCAAATGGGTGGTTCTGCTTGCATGATAATTCATAAACTCCTAATAGATGTTGAGCTAAATGTAAAATTAATACTTACTGATCCTGTTTGTGATACATTTGTATCTTGAGATGAAGCATGTATACCATTGCAAAATTCTACTGTACAAAACAAATGTGAAAAATTATAAGGACAAATTATTATACAATGTATAAACCATTGAAATCAAAAAGTAAAACAACTTTGGAAGTATCTGTCTGAGATTAATTCAATGAAATACCTCAAATGAGAAAGATGGCATAGCCATAGCCAACTCTGTTAAAATTTTTCTTAACCTTTCTTCCTATGGGAGGTTCAACCGAACCTTAGTCCCATTTTAAATAGAAAGTTTTTTTTCATTTGCAGGAGGAATATCCTGATTGCAATCTAATTTATTCATGTACAGAAGAACTGATATTTTAAAATCACTTACCATCAGAGCAGCCTGATAAGGTTTGTGACACTGTAGAATTATTAACAATCCCTTTGATTTGGTCACAAGAAATAGTGCTACTTGCATTTGAAGGAGTTAATAAAGGTCTCAGCACCTAGGAAACAAAGCAGGCATCCTACTGAAGCTTAAAACTATTATTTACATTGTAAAATTAAGCCTTTATGATTATGAGTTTTCTTTAGCAGAAAATATTTTCTCACCTAGAGACTGTCCCAGATTCTCCAGAATAGATTTCTGAAGGGAGTGAGTTTAAGATTGTTGGCTATATTAGCAATAATCTGAGGTACTGATATAACTTTCATTAACCTACTCTCTTTTGAAACACAAAAACAGGAAAGTGGTGGAGGGGTTCTATAGAGTACTTAAACTTTCATAAGACTTTGCACAAATCTCAACACTTCCTGAACTGACTTAGGATAAGAAAACAGCTTCTTTTATGGATTAGCCCAAGAAATTACAGAACAAGAAGCAGTGGGAAAAATACTTTTTTCAGTGAAACAAACTGGCTGTGTTTGCACACATACCCAAACAGCAGAAAACAGCTTCCAGATCAGTTTCAGAAGCTTGGAAAAAGATGCCCTTGCTCTAAAGAATTTTTAAAAAGTGGTTTGTTTCCATGTGTTCTGCCTGTTTCAATTTGGACAGCCAATCCTATAAATCAGACATGTCAAACTCGCGACTATAAATTATCAGTTCTTGCAATGGAAATGTTGCACCACAGCAGAGACTAGAATGCTCTAAGTATGTATGGATGCACCAAAGCTTTAACTTTAGATACTGTCTGGATTTGGAATTGAATAATCCAGATTCAAAAGTCATCAATACCATTCAATAGAGGGCAAAAATGTCATTTTGCTCTGGTTATGATATTCAACATATATTTTGTTGATCACTATATGACAGAGGTCCCCAACCTTTGGGGCACCAGGGACTGGTTCTGTGGAGACAGGTTTTTCTGCTGACCGGAGGATGCATGGTTTTGTATGCTGCCTGCATCTCGCGGATGGGGCTTTGCTTTTGCAGACCGGTTGCTGGCATGCTGTGGCCCGGTACTGGTCCACGGACTGGGGGTTGGGGACCCCTGCTATATGATACAGAATGTATTTTTATAAAATTAACATATGTTTTCTCTCTTAAACTATCAGGATTTAAAAGATGAAATATTTTGGCGCTAAAATATATAATTCTACATCCCATATATTAAAAAACAAGGAATTGTTGTTCCATTTGGTAACCTAATAGTTTTTATTTGTTATATAAAATATTTAAAATTTAAAACATCTTGAAGTACTTCAATTTGAATTCAAAACAGATATTTTGCACTCAAAATGCTCCAAACTCATAAAAATTCAGAATAGTTCTGAATTTGAAACAGAACATTTTTGAGTCCAAACCATTTTTAATTTAAAATGTTTTGTATACCTCCAACAGATTCTTTCCCCATTCCCAGCTCTTTTATCTCCAAATCTGTACTAATGAAACACCGAGGCAAATGTGATGAATAAGAGAAACTTGTATTGTATATCTGCATGATGTGATAATGTAACTCGACAGTCTTAATTTTGTTTAGATTTAATCAGCAGTACTCAATAATGTAATTAGTTTATTAGTTTACAATTTAATATAATTAGAATATAATAAAACATCATAAACATTATAACTATGATATTTTCTAAATGGTAAATAGAAGCACAATCTTACTGGTGTAATTTCTGTATTTGTACTGATTGTTCCATCAGGAGCATTGGTGACAAGAGATAGTACAGTATTTCTATCTTGTGTCATTAATGAAGAAAATTGAACACTGTATGAATGTAGTTGCAGTTCTGGTAAATATGGACATCTTGCTGCTTCTGAAAGAGCCTCTTCAGATAATTTTTCATATTTTCCAAGGACTTCATTGCAATAATCTTGTGTACATGGCTGCATTTTTACGTCTAGCACTGTGTTTTCATTTTCCCTGTTAAGCGTATGTTTCAAATGATCAACTGCAGTTTCACCTGTGCAGTTTAAACACGTATCTTGACTACAAAGGGATCCTTTATCAACTGGCTTATTTAGTAAATCAGTCTTAAGATTATGGTTTTCAGAACTAAATGCAAGTCCTTTATCTGTCCTGGAAATTCCAGCAAGAGTTAGATGATTTTCCGTAGGTATAGTTAAAATTTCAGGCTGGCTATGTTTCATCTCAATGGAAACACGTCCTAAAGTAGTTTTCATCTTGGTAAATGTATCAGCTTCAAAATAAGCAAAAATAAGCAAAAAAAGTGACATAAAGCTGTCATCATAAACTTACATACACTCTTCTCCATAGATATTTGGACAGTATATTAAATATTACGGTAAGTTATATTCTATGCACTAAATATATTCATTATACTATATATTAAGGCATAGGTCTAGAAAGCCTAAAATAAAATAAAATAATTGTAAAATACAGCAATATAAACTGTTTTTTAAAATAATAATTTAACAGTTATAAGAGATGCACCAATGAAGATATTAAATACCCTTTGAACAGCTCAGATTTTAATTAAGTTTTTCTTTGGTATGGAATGATGGATCTGAATTTCTGGTGGAAGATTCTTTAGGATAGGTTCCAATGCTGATAAACCAAGGACATTAGGGTTAGAGATACATGAATGAAGGCAAATAGAGATACTACATATTGATGGTGTGAAATGGTTCTACACACCTACAGAATTTCATCACGTGTACCAAGTAAATCAAATAGGAATGTAGGTCTCTCTATAATATATACAGCTCTTCAGGAATGCTTTTTCTGCATTGTGCATGATGGGAATTATTGTTACACATGCAGTTCTTGGCTCTTTTGTTTCCTTTTCACATATATGTGAAAATAATGAATAATTGTGACTTTCTCGAGTGTGATCGAGGATGGGTTGCCTCATGGCTGTGTTGAAAAGACTTGTGCTTACGTCAGGGTTTAATAAGTGTGCAGTATCTTTACCTAGACCCGTAAGTTCCAGCTGCTGGGTAGACTAGCATACGCGTTATCTCAAGAAATGGGTTACAGATCCGATCTGTAACCTGACGGGGTGGGTGAGGATCTGCGTGCGCATGTCACATGAGGCGAATAAGACCTGACGGGCCATTCGCACATACAGTACTTCTACGTTTCTCCCGCTCACCTTCCCCCTCTGCAGATTCCCGCCTTTTCCCTTCCATCATGCTTACGAGCGCCTGCTCCAATTTGACGAGGAAGAGCCGTTGGGCGGGGATCGGGAGCGCCGCGGTGCCTCGAGCTGAGGCGGAGCCTGGAGGGCACGCGCTGGTTCTGGATGAGATGACCTCGCCTCCGAGAATACAATCTCCCCCCCCCCCCAACGCTTCGCCGCTGGCCGGGCCCGCGCGCGCGCGCGCGCGCGCTTGCAGGGCAGTGACGAGTCCTAGCGATTTTTATTTTTTTTTAAAGTTGCTTTTGAAAATGCATGATCTTGTTCTGCTCATTCTCTCGCTTGACGGTATTTAAATAAAGGGCGACGTCGTTTCGACCTTTTCCCTTTGTGAAGACAAAACGGGGGGGGGGACGAAGTTCTACTTTTTTTTTTGAACAAAAGACAAAACATTCTCTCCGACAGGGATAGGTAAAAAGGCTGTGCACATGAACCCGCGCACCCACATTCATACCGTCCATAAATCAGACTAGGGCAGGGGTAGGCAACCTTGGCTCTTTTATGACTCGTGGACTTCAACTCCCAGAATTCCCGAGCCAGCATGGCTGGCTCGGGAATTCTGGGAGTTGAAGTCCACGAGTCATAAAAGAGCCAAGGTTGCCTACCCCTGGACTAGGAGATCCTGTTAATACCCGGAGATTGACGGGCATTAATCACCGGCACTATGCGAACGTTGTCCTGAAAGCTTATTGGCCTTACAGTACTTTAAAAGCCTGTAAATTGGTGGATTTCATGTTCTTCAGCAGACCAAAAACAGTTTAAAATATATCTTGATCATTTTCACGTGACCTTTTTAATTAGCATTCTGCACAGTAATAAGTACAGCCTTCTACGCTTTTAAAGTTAAATCCTCATTAAAGAAAATTATGCAACTTATGCTTAATATCGCACAAAAGGAAAATATAAAGACAATGTACTATTGTGAGATTTGTCTTTTTCCCTTTTAAGAGAATGAATAGGGTTTGGTGCCTTTGTTATACATACTAACATAGCAGATACGGTGTAACCTCTTTCCCCCCAGTGAAATGTCTACCATAAGATAGGTAAGAATAGGAGGATCTGGAACACTTTTCTATTGCATGTGATCTGTTTTTTGGGGGGGTGGGCTTGTGCTTATATGCATTTATGTTCCTTACTGGATAAGATAATGAACCACATGTTCATTATATATATCTGTTGGCAACCCCCCAACTTCTTAAGTTCTACCAATTATATTCAATAACACCTCGCTATGGAGACAAAAGCCCATTCCTTCACTTGCCTTTCACATTAACATTTGTGGTGCTCATGTTGCCTTTCAAAAAACACAGTGATTATCTTACCACCCTAACCCCACCCTCAAGTCCCAGATTTAAGGTGATCTAGAAAATAACCAACTTTTTCTGCTTAAGATGCCAAGGGAACTGTTGTGTCTACATTGACCAGGTTAGTCTTCCTCATTGATCCTCATTGATAGGTACGCAGAGACAAGTGAGAGAAGGCAACACATACCACTGGCTACTCATTAGCCTATCATGAAGTATTTTTCCCTTCTACCAAGGAACATATGCTTTACTAACCAGTAGCTGAATGAGCATAGATTACATCACAGCAAATTATTACATTATTGCAGCCTGAATAAATAAGTGTACCTAATGGAGTAAGGCAGTGATAGCAAACCTTTTAGAGACTGAGTGTCCAAACTGCAACCCAAAACCCACTTATGTATCATCTGGTGCTGGGTGGGTGTGGCCAATTGGGTGGGCGTGGCCCATTTGGTGGGCGTGCCTGTGGTGGTAATGGCAGACTGGATGGGACTAAAAAGTTCAATCAATTCCAATTTTGTGAGATTTTTTTTTTCCCCGCAAGAAGTTGAAATTGATTGATTGAACTTTTTTTTTTTTGCACACGGTGGCGGAGGCCTAAAGCGAAAAGGTTTTATAAAATCCAGCTGAAGGCCTAGGACTGGGGAGACGGCGCGCGTGCCCACAGAGAGGGCTCTGCGTGCCACCTGTGGCACGCGTGCCATAGGTTCACCACCACGGAGTAAGGGTTTCAATCTGCCTTCAGCATTGGGAAGTGAAAAGTCTTAATCTCACCCTTTGTGCTATAGAACTTCATGAACTGGCAAGAGAAATGAATCTTGATCTTCATAAGAAAACCAGTTTAGTGTAATGAAGGTAGAATACTGGTGTTTTTTCCTACTCTATTGGAAAATCCAAGTTGTCCATGAGTTGCTTCTATAGTGAGATGGGCAGCATATAAATTTATAAATAAATGAAAGCTCCTTGACTGATTTGGGACAACTAGCTCTTAAAACTAATAATTCTTGAATGGCTGATACAACAACAAAATCTCCTGCTTCCCTGTGAATATACCATGCTGTTATATGACCACAACAGGATTTGGGTTCATTCCTCCCAAGTTAAAGTTTTAAAAAGTCTTCTATCCTTTGGGAGAAGATGAGAATTCACTTAGCAGCAGATGCTGTTTCATCAATGGCCAAACATTATTAGATTCAGCTCAGAAAAAAAGTTAAGATTCCAGGAATCTCAGTTTTTATGATTAAGTGATGCACCCCAAAATACAGACAGTTACAAAATAAATTGGACTTAAAAGGAATATTATGTTAAGAACTTAAGCAAAATATGTAAACTTTAGGATAATTGTTTTATTCTAAGAATATACTACTTCCAAATGCAGCTGATACAGAAAATGTAATGGAGTCAATTTTAATTACTAGACAGTACCAGTTTTACTCTATTTAAGTGATAATATGGGAAAACATAGTTTAAACATTTCTTAGATAACTGTTAGGCTTTTATAATGTCTGTTTTATATTTGTACATATGCGGACAAGCAAATACTCATTTACAGGTAGTCCTCAACTTACGGCCACAATTGAGCCCAAAAATTCTGCTGCTAAGTGAGACAGTTAAGTGAGTTTTGCCCCATTTTACAACTTTTTCTTGCCACAGTTGTTAAGTGAATCACTGCAATTGTGAAGTTAGTAATAGGTTATTAAGTGAATCTGGCTTCCCCATTGACTTTGCTTGTCAGAAGGTCACTAAGGTGATCACATGACCCTAGGAAATTGCAATTAAAATAAATGAGTCAGTTGCCAAATATCTAAATTTTGATCACATGACCATGGGGATGCTGCAATGGTTTTAAGTATGAAAAATTGTCATGTCACTTTTTTTAGTGCCACTGTAACTTTGAACAGTCACTAAACAAATGGCTTACAAATACATGCATATATACACATACACACACACATACACACACACAAGCATATATAAAGTCTAAATATTGTTAAACCAATTCCTTCAAAATGAATTTCAATGTAAATTTCTATGAAAGTTATAAATAATGAGAACAGTCCGTATATCTAATATAAAATGCACACTTTTAAATAATATTTTTATTAAGAATAAGCTGTTTACTATGTGTTTAAAGATTTACAACCAAAAGCAGTATTATATACAGGCAGTTGACATTCTAAGAGAATATAAACCAAGGTCAGAAATAGTTTTTGTGTCCATTTATTTTTTTTAAAAAAAAGACATTTAACCTTTCAATCACTTACATTAAAATTCATATTAACTTCAGCCAATTACACATTTATATTTCCTTAAAATATGAAACATTGCATTGATAATGCACTAATTAAGCATGTTTACAATTCAAATATCTAAAACCTGAGTCAAACCTAATAATGCTCTTGATAAAAAAGATTCTTAGAATATAGAGACTGGTCAGTTGGTAAAATAAAAGCATATACTTAACAGAACACTGACTTAAGAATGCAGCATGACATCCATGGCTTTTCCCCCCATAATTTTGTGATGTTTACCATTCTTGATCATATGAAACATGCCCCATCTATTCTTGTGTGGATTTATACTTTAATATTTATTTACGAAATAATATAACTCATTTGCATTAATCAAAGAATTTAATAGCAAATTCTCAGGACAGCAACTTGAGTCCCATATCTTGTATTGGTATTAAAAGCTCTTGAACATCAGGGTTTTATTAGATTAACCCCCATATTTGTTGCTTCATCTTTCTTAAAGCCATTACATTTGGAGAAACAGATAATTGATGGATAAGGCCTTTTAGGTCTTATGTAAAGACTTATGAGAGACTGATAAGAATTATGTCTTATATAAAACTGTCGAGAACATTTCACTGTCTGATTTTTGTAATGTTTGCATTTCTGATTTCTGAATAAAATTCCTGCCAGCCATAAGACCAACTATCTTTTTTCTTTGTATTTTTTAATACAGATTAGTTTTTAGTAATGCCATTCATGATTTGTCACATTCTCTACATTTTAAAAATATCTGAGATAACTCCAACTTAATCTATGACATTTAAATGTTAGGTATGTATATTCATGACTGTTTATGACTCATACGATAATAATTACTTAAGGCAGAAGGTGGTCAAGCTACTTTGACCGGTCTTTACACTGAAGATTGTCCCAACAGATTTTAAACCAGCAGATTAATTGTAATGCAGAGTGATGGGATGAAACAAACTGAATACAACTCTTGAAGCAAGATAGTAACTTCCCTTTTTTGTAAGAGTGTAAAAATTATTCTCATAAGAAATAGCTTTGATCATAATACAAAGGAAAATTGTTTGCGAGATTTTTTGTGGAAACATACCCATTTTTATTTGCTGATATTATACCCCGCGTTACTGCAAATTCAGCAATTCTTATTTTTCAAATTCAGCCATTCAACTTTTGAAATTCAGCAAATACAGGCTTTAAAATTATATACAGAAAAAGCCTCCTCTGACATTTCAAGTAACAAGACAGGGCTTAATTCCAAATAGCAAAATGTTTTCCCCCCACTAAGCACAATTCACTACATTTGCCTGATGTTTCTAAATGTTCAACTTAACAAAATGCCTTTATTTATGGTGTATGTCCTAAATTGTAACTTTCTGAAAAAAACAACCCAACAATTAAATGAATTATGTCTTCTGCCATTATATTTCAAG